CTACTCCTTTTTTTTTTTGTTTGTTTTTTTTAGTAGAGATTAGGTCTCGAGCTCCTGGGCTCAGAGAGTTCTCTGGCCTCAGCCTTTCATAGGGCTGGGATTGCAGGCATAGGCCACTGAGCCCAGCCTACTTTTTATTTTTAATTGAAATTTTTATTGAGCTCATGGTCACTCCACTCGTGTTGATACCCAGTTCCCCACAATGGTAACTGCAAAACCGTAGTGCATGCTCACAGCCAAGGCTTGTCTACTTCCCTTTTTCTGAATTGTGGTGGGACACACACTAGCTTTGCTGTTAGTGACGGTACATTTGCGGTGTTGTGCAAACCCTGTCACTGTCTAGTTCCAGAACATTCATTTTTTTGTTGTTGAGATGGAGTCCTGCTCTTGTTGCCCAGGCTGGAGTGCAGTGTCATGATCTCACTCACTGCAACCTCCATCTACAAGGTTCAAGCGATTCTCCTGCCTCAACCTCCCAAGTAGCTGGGACTATAGGTGCACGCCACCATGCTCAGCTAATTCTGTAACTTTTAGTAGAGACAGGGTTTCACCATGTTGGCCAGGCTGATCTCAAACTCCCGACCTCAAGTGATCTGCCCGCCTCAGCCTCCCAAAGCACTGAGATTACAGGTGTAAGCCACCGTGCTCGGCCTCATTCCAGAATATTCTTGACCCTCAAGGAAGCCCCTACCCTTGCAAAGCCACGCCCCATCCCGCTTTCACCTTCCCCTCTCCCAGCCTCTGGCAGCTGCTCACCTGCTTTCTCCCTGACGTTTTCCTCTTCTGGATGTTTCATAGAAGTGGAATCCTACAGTGTGTGGCCCTGAGTGATGCCTGCTCTCTGACAGCCCCTGACAGTGTGTCTGGGTTTAGTCTGTTTAAATGAGGGCTTATTCAGCCCCAGACTTCTGGTACAAACCAGAGGACAGTGAGGGGCTCTTGCACCCAGCACAGCTATCAAACCAGCAGTTCCAGGCTCAGCGGGGAGTGCTTTCGCCTCCAGAGGAAGGCTCAAGAAGAATCTACACTAGCTTTAGTGGAGACACTTACATCAGTGCTTTCTGAAAACAAATAAGCAAAAACAAACAAGTAAATCCAGAGGTGACAGTTAAAAAAAAAGAAAAAAAAGCACTGAGTTTATAAAATAAATACAGCAAAGATGTGTTGAGGCCGGCAGTGAATCAGGCCACTGTGACAAAGCCGCACAGCGGGGCTGCGTGTGAAGCCCATGCGGCTCCACCCTTGCGTACTGGGAGTTCACAGTGGGATTCCCGGCTCCCAAGATCCTGAGCTGCTTCCCACTGGGAACTGCTCTGAAACGGGCTTTCTCCAGGGGAAGATGATGAGGTCATTTGCTTTGAGGTCCAGTGACTGCCACTGCTTCTGACCTCATAGAAAACCATCCCTCGCTGATGCCCGGCCCTGCTGGTCTTGAAGCTCCTTGCAGGCATCATCTCATGACACTCTCAGGGCGCATCCAGAGCCCTGGCAGGCAGGACCAACAGGCAGGGCTAGGACCAGGCCTCTCTGTTTCCAGCCCAGAGAGTAGTCAGCTCAGCAAGCCCAGAGTCTGCCAACTTTCTGTCTTTTTTTTTTGTTGAGACAGAGTTTCAGTCTTGTTGCCCAGGCTCGAGTGCAAGGGTGCGATCTCGCCTCCCAGGGTCAAGTGATTCTCATGCCTCAGCCTTCCAAGTAGCTGGATTACAGGCACACGCCACCACACCCAGCTAATTTTTGTATTTTTAGTAGAGACGGGGTTTCTCCATGTTGGTCAGACTGGTCTTGGACTCCTGACTTCAAGCGATCTGCCTGCCTCGGCCTCCCACAGTGCTGGGATTACAGGCATGAGCCACCATGCCCAGCTCTCTTCCTGTCTTAGAGCTCGTTTACTGATGTCCCTGTGTGCTTTTCATCAGACTATTTCTGCTCTTCCAGCCTCTGAGAACTGGCCTCTGTCCCTAACCCTTCCTGAAGCCTTCCTGGGCTGTCTGCAGGCTGGCCTCCCACCTGGAGTGAGGGCCTTGCCAGGCAGTGCCAGTCCTCCTTTCAGGGAGAAGCCGCTATGCAATGAGCTTCCATCACGTAAAGTCAGACCCTGGTGTCAGGAGTGCGGCAGCAGCGGGCTCAGGAGCTCACCTCCTGCTTCTTGGGCTGGACCCTGGTCACACAAGTGCGCTCAAATCAGGAAGCTCCACCACGCTGCACACTTAGGATCTGTGTATTTTTCAAATGTATGTTGTCCTACAGTAATACAAAATAGAGTTTTTCTTTTTATGGGACCAGAGTAGGTGAGGGGTTGGGGACACAGGATGTTTCCAAGGGAAGCAGGTGGCCAGGGTCCCTCCTCTGTGTGCCTCCTTAGCATCAGGTTGGTCCTGAGCATGCCACATGGGCAGATGTGGCCTCCACCTGCAGGGAGCTCGCGGGCAGCACAGTGGCACTTCCCAGAGACCGGGCAGGCAGCACGAGTGGGGTTGTGAAGGGTGGGCAGCAGCCTGCCAGTGAGCAACGCTCGAGGGGACATGTGTGCTGGGAAGGAGCAACTGGTGAGGCCAGGGTGAGGCTGGACCGTGCCTGCACTTCCCACTGTACTCTGTTCTAGAGGCTTCTAGCAAAGGTTGGTAAATGGGTGGAGGCTCATGTCAGGGGCATAGGTGAGAGAGACCAGGGAGACCAGGAAGCTTTATGTTCCAGAGATGTTGCGAGGCGATAGAGAGAGGAGGGAAGGGATGCGGGGTGGCCGCCCTCTGCCTACTCACGAGCGCCTCTCCGCCTGCACCGCGCTCCTTCCAGCGCCGTCTCGCCCTGTCTGGAGATCCCTCGGAGGCTGCACTTCAGTGCTCCCTGTTCTTACCCTTCCCCTGCAGCACAGTCACCGCTCTCTTTCTCCATCATTCCCGTTGTCCCTGACTTACTATTCAAAAGCTAGCAGCTTCAAACCACAGCGCGTCTCAGCTCTGGGCCAGGACGGTGGGCAGCGTGCGGCAGGGACCCAGCTCTTCACCACCATGTCGGGGCCCTGGCTGGTGGGCTGAGGGGCGAGGCCTGGGCTGCTTTTCTGTCTACTCCACGCAGCCTCCTGAGTGGGGAGGGCAGAAACCGCTCCACACAGCCAGATGGCCTCAGCCTCAGCCTCAGCTGGCAGGCTTCTTCCCCAGCCACTGGCCTCCCCACCCAGCCCTGCTTTACAGAGTGATTGCGGGCCGCCCCCTTCGCTTCCCTGGAGTCCCTGCATCCCCTGGAATGGGGGCCTAGCCTAGAGCAGCCCTTCCCCAGATCTGTGCCTCTGAACCCCAGGTCCATGGAATGGAAATGGGTGTGATGTATAGAAAGGGGGTTCCAGGTCGGGCGTGGTGGCTCACGCCTGTAATCCCAGCAGTTTGGGAGGCTGAGGCGGGTGGATCATGAGGTCAAGAGATCGAGACCATCCTGGCCAACATGGCGAAACCCTGTCTCTACTAAAAATACAAAAATTAGCTGGGTGTGATGGCGCATGCCTGTAGTCCCAGGCACTGGGACTGAGGCTGAGGTAGGAGAATCGCTTGAACCCAGGAGACGGAGGTTGCAGTGAGCTGAGATCGTACCACTGCACTCCAGCCTGGGTGACAGAGTGAGAGTCTGTCTCAAAAAAAAAAAAAGAGAGAGAAAGGGGGTTGCATAGACAAACAAGCTAAGCTCACAGGGAAGGCAACGAATATAAATCCCAGACATCTGATCCCAGCACAGCCCGCCTGGGTGCACTCCAGGCAGTCCCCGGGGACTCGGCCCTGGCGCCCCAATCCGCCCCCCTGGCCTGCATTCCACAGCTCTGCTGGCCGTCCCGCCACAGCCTCTCTGCTGTGCAGGTGGAGTGGGCAGACGCTGTGGTCACCCTGAGGCACAGGCGTGGCTCCCTTGGGTCTGTCGGATGTCACCAGCCTGCCGGGTTCTGTCTGGAAAGTGGCTCAGGCTTCCAGTGCTGCTCTGCTTTAAGCTGGTGACCGCTGTCCAGGGTGGTGCCCAGCCTTCTGGCCTCTGCCACCCGGCCCTCCCCTTTCTCCCATCAGCGCCCTTTGTCCTCCAGGCATCCACCCTAATGCCACCTCATTTCGTGACCACCCCTGCCAGTTGCTCATTTAATTTCTTGGCGGCGCCTCCAATATCTGAAGGGTGCCTGGTGATTCCATCCAGCTTCCTGCTCCACTGCTGCCTGAGAGCCCCGTGCAGCCGCTCACGACGGCTGCCAGAGCCTGCACCTGTAACCTGGACAAATGTGTGGAGTGAGCAACTGAGGACTGGGGGAGCAGGAAAGGGAGCCCCTCACGAGGACTCAGTTCTCTCTGTGTCTCTTGAATTAGCTCACTCACAGCCCAGTGCTGAGGCTCACACCTGTAATCCCAGCACTTTGGGAGGCCAAGGCAGGCAGATCACTTGAGGTCAGGAGTTCTAGTCCAGCCTGGCCAAGATGGCGAAACCCTGTCTCTACTAAAAACTATAAAAATTAGCCAGGCGTAAAGGCAGGTGCCTGTAATCCCAGCTACTTGGGAGGCTGAGGCAGGAGAATCCCTTGAACACAGGGGGTGGAGGTTGCGAGGTTGCAGTGAGCCAAGATCATGCCACTGAACTCCAGCCTGGGCGACACAGTGAGATTCTGTCTAAATAAAAAAAAAAAAAAAAAAAAAAAAAAGCTCACTTGCCCCATTGCCAGGCTGAGAGCTCCTCCAGCTGCACCCTGAGTGGTCTCACACAAGACAGAACTTTCCGGCCGGGCACGATGGCTCACGCCTGTAATCCCAGCACTTTGGGAGGCCAAGGTAAGTGGCTTACTTGAACCCAGGGGTTCAAGACCAGCCTGGCCAACATGATGAAACCCAGTGTCTACAACAAAATACAAAAATCAGCCTGGTGCGGTTGTGTGTGCCTGTAGTCCCAGCTACTTGGGAAGCTGAGCTGGGAGGTTCGTTTGAGCCAGGGAGATGGAGGTTGCAGTGAGCCAGGATTGCGCCAGGGCACTCCAGCCTGAGTGACAGAGTAAGACTGTCTTTTAAAAAAATGTATTCAAAAGAGAACTTTCTGACAGCCAGAGTCAGATGGGGGCAACCCTGTGCCTGGCAGTGTTTCCGCCAGGGAGTTGCAGCCTGGTTTGGGAGAACCAGTTGGTCCTCAGAGGACTGAGAGGCAGTAAGGCAGACACTGGCCCTGGCGGTGGTCACCGGTGGTGACATGCCCACCAGAGGAGCCACCCCCCGCCCTCCTTGCTGCTCTATCTCTCCATCTTCCATGTCCTGATCGATCGAGACTGGCCCTGGGGCTGAGGTGTGGGACTTGGTGCCCACGGGAGGCATTGCATGCATGTGTTTGTCAGCCCACAGTTAGGGGCCCCTGCTCAGAGCCGCCGGCAGGTGAGGGTGTGGGCACCCTGGCGAGGGCGCCTTGCTCAGGGAAGCACAGGCGGAGGAAGGCCCCACTGCCTGAGTGAGGGCCCTGAGAGTGTCTGCACCTGGCAGGTGTGTGACGTGGGCGCTGTGACAGGAGCACTGTACAGAGTGTGCCACAGGGCGTCTAGTGTGACTTTATTCACAGGAGCCCTGAGAGCAAAGCATGGAACAGGAGATGCATGGCGACAGCGAGGGACCCACCAGTGTCCGCTGGGTGATGCCCTCAGGGTTCCATGGAGGCTGACCAGGAGGGCATAGACCCAAGACCACAGATGCAGCAGGGAAGACTGTGGCTTCCAGAAAAGCAGGCAGCGCCAGGCAGTCAGGGGACAGGCAGCCCCTCGGGGCATGGGTCACCCACCAGCACCGCTGGTGACCAGAGGGCCAGCACCCCCGGACAGTACTATGCTCGCGGGCTCGGAGGCCTGGTCCAGCTGAGGGGTGGGCAGCCCTGAGACAAACTGAAGCTGCCAGTGAACAGCAGACAGGACACAGAAAGGACTTTCTCCTGTCCTTTGAAGAGTAGACAAGGGACCAGAGATGCTGAGCGTGAACAGAGGCTGCCTGAGGATCAGGGCGGGGTGGCAGCCTTGTGCCATGGCCTGGGCAATGGAGATGTCACCTGCCCGGTGGCACATTAGGGAGACAGCTGTGCCTAGAGAAGAGGGCCTCCAGCTGAGTCAGGAAGGTGAGGGTGGCACGGGCAGGCGGTGGGGCTCCTGGGCTGGCATTCCGCATCTCGCAACACCCGCCGCCGTCCTTCACAGCCAGGCCCGCCGTGCCTCTCCCCGCATTCCTCCACCCTCTGTTCACCTGGGCCATCCCCGCCCTTCTTGGTCTCCTGCTGGAGTCCAGGCTGGTATCTGCTGGGCTGTCCCTCAGTCTGGCCCACCTAACGTCCTAGAAGCAAATGACCCTCTCCTGTGAAACTGGTGCTGCGGGCAGGACGTGTTCTCTCTGCCGGCTGCGGGGCCCACACTGGCTGCTGCATGCTGCACGCCGTCACTGACATGTCCCCAGTTCCGGAAGCCCCTCGTCCCCCCTCTTGTCATCCAACTCCTGCCCTCCCTGAAAGTCCCTTCCTGCTTCCAGCCCTCCGGGGTCAGCTTGATCAGCGTCCATTCCAGCCCCAACGACCAGATGCTGTGGGTGCTGGACAGCAGATGGAACGTGCACGTGCGGACTGGGATCACCGAGGAGATGCCTGTGGGGACCGCCTGGGAGCACGTGCCAGGTAAGAGCCCGCAGACGGGGCCTGTGGTGCCAGCCAGCCACGGCTGCCATCACTGGGGTCTGCTGGTGCTCCCTCCAGGCCACTGTCTGTGAGGCAGCCCAGTACCCACCACACTGCAGCCCTTGCGCTGGGGCTGTGCTGTGCTGCCTCTCCCTGGGGCAGGGGACAAGCCTCAGTCATGTTCCTTCTTGGGGGAACCCAGACCATCCTGCTGGTGCTTTTGTGGGAGGGTGTTTTGCACACTGCCCAGGCCCTTCTGTCCTTTGGCTTCTGGCTCTCAGTGGCTTTGCTGGCCCTGCCAACTGGGCATCCTTTCCCTCAGCTCCTGCCCCAAGCCCAGCCCGGCATGGGCAGTCCATCCGTTCAGGGACTCTGGAGGAGGAGGGCAGCGTCACAAGAGTGGGCTTGGGAAGCGCTGGCCCATCCTGTCCACCGCAGGCACTCAGAGGGGCCATGTCTGCCCACAGGGTTGCAGGCATGCCAGCTGGCGCTGAGCACCAGGACTGTGTGGGCCCGCTGTCCGAACGGAGACCTCGCCCGGCGGTACGGCGTCACGGACAAAAACCCCGCTGGAGACTACTGGAAGAAAATTCCTGGCAGTGTGTCGTGTTTTACAGGCAGGTGCCAGAGAGCGGTGGGCCCAAGGTCTTGTTCCCTTGGGGTGCCCGGGGCTCCTGTGGACCATGTCAGGGGGCTCTCAAAGAAGCTGCCCCCTCTGGGCTCCACTCCCCCAGAGCAAGAACTCAGGGTAAAGGCTTCCCTGCAGGAGCCTGTCCCAGGGAGGGGAGGGGCGTGGACACCTGGGCTCTGCCAGAGTCTCCTGGGGCAAGGACAAGGTGCTATGACACCTACTTGACAGTTGAGCGCACGAAGTCCACATGGGGGTGGTGGCTTGTCCAGGGCCCCCCACCTAGAATGTTGCAAGTCCAGACCTGCGCCCAGGTGCCTGTCTCCATCTGTGCCCACCCCGCAGGCTGTGTGATTGCCAAGTATGTGATTGGCTGTTGTCCCTGTAGTGACTGCGTCAGATGAGCTGTGGGCTGTGGGCCCGCCCGGCTACCTCCTCCAACGGCTGACAAAGACGTTCAGCCACTCACACGACGCCCAGAAGAGCAGCCAGGCCGCCATGCCCCACCCCGAGGACCTGGAGGACGAGTGGGAGGTCATCTGAAGGAGCCCTGGCAGAGTGAGCAGAGGGTCCAGGCATCCGTGGTGGGCACAATGGCTTCCGAGTCACTCCCTGGTGGACACGCTGCTTCGAAACTTGTCCAGGCACCTGTGGCCAGGTTGGACCCACACACTTAACTTTCATCCGTGTTGGTTTCTGTCTCGTTCCGGAACCCACAGCCTCCACCCATGGCTGGAGCGACTGCTGCAGCGGTGGCGCCTCAGCTCTGGACGTGGCGGATGCCCGGCCGCGGCGGCTGCCCGGCCGCACGTATCCCGTGACCCGTGTGCTGCCGTCCTGGTCTCACCCACAAATAGCTCCCGTTTCTGTTGGTGGGAGTGGTCTCCGGAGGCCTCCCAGAGCCAGGGGCAGCGGGGAGACCTATGAGCCCGCGGGCAGCTGGGCTGGTCCAGGGACTGTTTCCACATTAGCAGCCCCAGGGCCAGATGGAGCCAAAGGCCAGTGCTCTGCAGCGCAGGATGCGCCCGGTGATGGCTTTGTCCCATCTTGAGGAGGTCCGCCCGAGACAAAGCCGCAGAGCACATTCCACGCCAGATACTGTGGCCGGGAAGCCAAGGCCGGGCTTGAGAGGAGAACACCGGCCATGCCAGGAGAGAACATGCACACCACACCACACCACACCACAACACAACACACCTCACACCACACCACAACACACCAAACCACACCACAATACACCACACCTCACCACAACACCCCACACCTCACCACAACACACCACACCTCACCACAACACACCATACCTCACCACACCACAACA